AGTTGTAGCTGTGTCGGCCCCAGGATATCAGAGAGACAAGGGGGGTGAGATAATATCTTTTATTGGACTATGTAACAGTGGTCGGGTGTGTCTGCAGTCTTTAAACAGTTCCGGCCCTGGTACTGGCAGTACCCCAGGGATTCTTCCCAGGAGGCAGTGCCGTCTTGGTCTGTTCTGGCCCCAGATCTCCAGCTGGGCCTCTGAACAGCTCAGATCCCTTTCTGAGGGTTATCACTGTCCAATTGTAGGACACTTCCCTAGTGGCATATGGGGGGACCAAGACCTGGTCACTACTCCAGGTCCCAGCCCAGGGACCCTAAGAATAGCAGCCATGAACCACTGTGTTCCTTTAATGAAACTGCTTTCAGTTCCCTAGGCCACTTCCCTGAGGCCCCAGCCTTCACTGATGCTTCACCCTTATGTCAGGGCTCTCCTATATTCAAGGCCCAGCAGCCAGCCAGGAGCTCTTTCTTGCTTCCCTGGTCCCTGCCAGGACTGAGCTATCCATGGCACTGCATTTCCCTTTGGCCAGCCAGGAGCACCATCTGCACTCCTCTGGCTCGAGGAAGGAACTGTCTGTCTCTGGCTCTGCAGTTCCTTTTTATATGGTCCTCTTGGGCATCATTTGGCTGCTCCTTGCAGCCTCTCTGATTAGCTAGCCCTTTGTAGCCTCTCTTGGCTGCTCGGAGGACTTAGCTCCACTGCTCCTTTCCTGCGACAAATGTGGCAGGATTCTGAGGCTTCCAGCAGGGGGCCTCTGGACCTAGTCCACCCCATCACAGACAACTTCTGTGAGAGAGACAGAGCTGTTCAGCATATTTGGAGCTGTATGTAGTGGTCAGAGGGTTATAGATGGTGAAACTGGTGATGATAATATTTCATTTCTTTTCTACTTCCTGAGCAAATGCAAGAAACAAAACATTATCCCCAAAGGTCTCACTATTACCCTCTGACCACTACATACAACTCTAATTATGCTGAACAGCTCTGTCTCTCACCAACAGAAGTTGATCCAATGAAAGATTATTACCTCACCCATCTTGTCTCTCTAAAACTCATACAATGACATTTTCAATTATTAATACACTGACAATGGTAGCTGTTGGAACTGGACAGATTTCAGGACCTTCTGAGGGAGTAAACTATGTTGCCAAATCACCACTATCTATGGTCTGGTGATATATTACAGGATTCTTTTGTACATGTCTATTAATTAGAGCTGGTCAAAATTCATCTAAATGTTCATGGGAAATTATCAACATATTTCATTATGATAATGACAGTTAAAATATTTAGATTATTCTATTCTATGCTATTATAACAGTCAAAATGATGAAGTTGAAACAAAATGATTCAATAAGATCAAAATGAAATATTTTGGAATATTCCTTTTTGTGAAAAAACTCAGAGATATATTGACTTTTCATCAAAATTTGGGACAAAATCAAATTCTGAAGTATCAGAATTTACCATAGGCTGAAAAACAGAAAATAATTTTTTCAGCCAGCTCTACTATTGATACAGTGGATCCTAAATAGCCTCTCTTCTGGCCTTGCCCACAGAGTTCACTGGATTTACAGATAACTTGCAATGAATAAAACAAGAAGGGAATATGGCTAACATGTTGGTGGTGGAGTCCTGATCCAGGGCCCATGGACTGTGACCTAAGGAATTTATCAAGCTTTGAGCTGTGGCTGTGCAGGAGGCAAAGAAAATAATTGTAACATCCCTCATAACTAAGGCTAAGATTTTGTCATGGTTGTCTTTAGTAAAAGTCGCAGACAGGTCACAGCGAATAAACAAAAATTCACGTAAGCCCGTGACTTGTCCCTGGGTCCAGCACCCACTCCTGCTGGGACTCTGGCATCCCCCTCACCATTCACACTGGCCGAGAGTGCTGCCGCCCTCCCCCCACTATGCATGGCGGCTCAAAGGGAGTGTGGCTGGGAGCTGCAGGTCCCCTGGCGGCAGCTGGGAACTGCAGGAGGCCCCTGCAGTAACTGGGAACTGCCAGGGCCCTACCGACTGACAGCTTCAGCCCCACCGCCCCAGGGCTGAAGCAGAAATATCATAGAGGTCTCTGGAAGTCACAGATTCTGTGACATTCATGACCTCCATTTAGCCTTACTCATAGTATATACAAGTCATACACAGTGGAACTGCTCCCAGGGGTGGATAATTTGATTAATATGAGATGACTAACTGAAATCGAGTAGATATTTTACCCGTGAGGAATTTGCAGGTTACTTTGAGGATACCATCTCTTGAATTGAGACAATTTGCTGAGTCCCTATGTGACAGGGAATTCCTGAGGGGACAAAATGGAGCCATCTCTGTTCAAGTTTCATCCAGTGTTGCTCACTGAACTCCTTGAAATACGGTGTGTGCTTCATTGTACTCATATTCCTCCTAACTTTCTAATGAAATTGCTGAACTTTGCAAGTTACGATAACGTCCTTTGTAAAGTGAACACCTGAACCACACACCTCACTAATATCCTTAATACCAAATTCACAGAATACCAAAGAGATACCTGATGACAACAAAGCTTCAAGCATTACGATAATGTCCTTTGTAATGTGAACACCTGAACCACACACCTCACTAATATCCTTAATACCAAATACACAAAATACCAAAGAGATACCTGATGACAACAAAGCTTCAAGCAATATCAACCTCAGATGGAAATCTTAGAACACTAAAGTAATTAAAGTTTCAGAATATCATCTTAGAAGAATTTTCAAAATGACTTGACAACAAATGATGGGAGGTGTGAGCAATCAGGATTAATTCCTCCTCAAATCACTGGATGCCTGATTAGGGCTAAATTGTACATAGTCTTACTCCCCCAGGGCAGAGAACAGACACTGCCCAGCCATTGTGTTCCCTGGCACACAAATTGGAGAAATCCATCATGAACAGCAGTATTAGTCTCCACCTTTCTTGAGTGTGCTCCTAGCCAGCCCGTCCTCCAGACAGATTAATGAGCTCAACTGGGTTGCACTAGGACCACCAGATTGGCTGGCCTGCCTGATTGTCTGAAGGAAGCCAGCAGGCCTGTTTTTAAGTTCAGCAGCAGCTGCAATTACTCATACCCTTGCCTTGTTTCCAGCCTTGCCACCTAGCTTTATTCTTGTCGTGTTCCAGTAGGCTCCAGCCTTGGTTCCTCCTGCCTCCGGCTCCGACCCTGGGCTCAACACCTGGGTTCTGACTCCAACTCTAATCCTTGACTCCAGTCCCTGGCTCCCGACTCCTGCTCCAACCACTAGCCCCATTTGTGGGTATGTCTTCACTACCCGCCGGATCGGTGGGTAGTAATCGATCCCTGAACGCGCTCCCCGTTGACTCCGGAACTCCACCAGAGTGAGAGGCGGAAGCGGAGTCGACGGGGGAGCCGCGGCCGTCGATCCCGCGCCGTGAGGACCCGAGGTAAGTTGATCTAAGATACGTCGACTTCAGCTACACTATTCTTGTAGCTGAAGTTGCGTATCTTAGATCGATCCCCCCCGAGTGTAGACCAGCCCTGTGACACCACCAAAGAAAGCTACAGGGGAAACATGAGGGTGGGGCTATTGCCCTAATCCGCATCCACAATGGCTACCAGAGCTAGGCCAGCAAAGGGATATGCACACTGACCTCTGTGAAAGGGCATAGCAGAAGCTGCTAAGATCTATGCTCCCCTATGTAAGTGGAGGCATTGCGCCTTGCTAAGGCACAATGGGTCTGAGAATGGCTGCCAGTATTTAGCACCTCTTCAGCCCTTCCATGCAATCCCAAATCTTGCCCTGATGTTGAAAGATCCTTAGAATACAGACTGTGTCTTCCTCTGTGTTCTGTATAGAGTTCAACACAGCAATGGCATTAATCAAATAATGTATACTAATAATAAATAAATATTGATACTATTAACCTGAATTTTAATAGTACTCTCTTTACAGATCTTAAACATACAATGGGCCAGATCCTAAGCTGATGTAAATTAGCCCAACTCAATTGACTTCAAAGGAGCTAGACTGATTAACATCAACTGAAGGTCTTTTCCATTTTGTGTTTGGATTTTTTGCAAAGGGATAGCACAGACAGGACATATTAAATATGACTTATATAAGTACAGCCTTAGTATTTCAGTGCTTCTCAGTGTTAAAAAAAACTACTTTGTACTGTATTTAATTATAACTGATTTATGTGGAACTCTGTCAAAATATTATCATTAGCTTTTAATGTGCATTGCAAACACTCTCTCAGAACACCACTCCTTGAGCATTTGGAGTGTATCTTCTTCTCCTCACTATTCTAAACATTAACAATTAAAATTAAACACTTCTGACAGAATATCTTTGGTTTTTATTGTCCTCGGTGTATCAGTTGGTCACCAGTGTTCATGAACCTCCTTGATTACACAAATAGATATTACCCATCAGAAAAGCTCACAAGTCAAAAATTTGCACAGTTCTGTCAATCAAGAGCTTCACCAGGGAACAGTGATAAGAAACCAGTGGCAGAAATAATCTTTATCCCCAGATCAACCAAGCTCAGTTCAAATACTGCCTTTCCAAAAAGGGCTACTGATGAACTGTGCTGTTTTGTAGAACACTAGTATGTCACATAGATTGGAAACTCACAATGACTGCAAATCAAGGAAATGACAAGCTTGCAAAGTTGTGTTTTGTTTTCTTTTTAAGCCACAGAGCTGTTCCAAATGCAGGCAGTCATGGGTTTGCTTCCTGCCTATTCTTTTTATCATCTGTGCCATGAAGCCGGATAACTTCCCATCAAAAAGAAGCTGTATCGTTGATTTGTCAGCCTTGGGAAAAATCATTTGAAATGCAGCCTATGTCCATGATGACAAAGGACAGGCTGGGATAAAAAATTTATGCGAGCTACTGCTGTGCGAGACTCATAATAATCTCCTTTGTTGCTCAGAGGGTTAGGTCACATATGAGGGTTAAAGATTTTTCCCTCTTGGGTGAAGTGTATTAACAAAATCATTTGCTTACCGGAGGATCCTGATCTTCAGCTGAAACTGTAGCGATAACAGTGCCCTTGATTGCATCGGGAGCAACCATTCCCCTGTAGAGAGCTTTGCTAAATACTGGGGAGTAATCATTCATATCCTGCAAAATATAATTAAGAGTTTAGTTCTCAAGTTGAAACAAGATTATGGACCTATCCACAATTGTTCTTTCAAACTATACTCATTCACTCCCTTCCCATTAGAGAACCCATTTGCCACTGTCAGCCTTTCCATACTCTCAATTCTATTACTATCACACAAGCCTGGCACCCAAGAGGAAGATGCCAAATTTTCAATACAATATTATTGTGTGAGGGATCAACGTAAAGTAATTCTACTTCAGAAAACAGTCTGTCACCCAAGTAAATAAAGCTTCCACGGACTGCAGAGATTCTTATGACAGTTGTTTTTCAAGCAATGTCCCACAATATGGCTTTGTTAATTTTCTAAACCGGATGAGCTTGCTCTTTCCTGAAAGTGCTTTTTACACTATATGTGACAGAATGACAAGAAAATACAGGACCAGCTTACTATAAACACTTTATGAGAGCCTAAATTATGCTTTTCATAGTGACCTATGTATTGTGAAGGAAAAATTTATGTTAGAAGCAGAGGTACGTTATACTGAGGGAGACAGTAAAAAGAAAATAAAAATATAAAGCAAAGTTCAACCATGCTCAGCTGAAGGACCATTAATAACTGCCCTATCAGGAGCCAAATACATTTTGAAGCTTCTCTCCAGCAATACTGTAATTCGTTAATAGGAACAATCATTTAGGGCTGGTCTACACTTACCCGGTAGTTCGGCGGCAAGCGATCGAACTTCTGGGTTCGACTTATCGCGTCTTGTCTGGACGCGATAAGTCGAACCAGGAAGTGCTCGCCGTCGACTGCGGTACTCCAGCTAGACGAGAGGAGTATCCCGGAGTCGACGGGGGAGCCTGCCTGCTGCGTGTGGACCGAGGTAAGTTCGAACTAAGGTACTTCGAACTTCAGCTACGTTATTCACGTAGCTGAAGTTGCGTACCTTAGTTCGAATTAGGGGGTTAGTGTAGACCTGGCCTTACCTTGATAGTGTGATCTATCCTGAAATATGTACTTTATAAATAACACAATCAGGATCAAGGCCCACTAAATTTAGTTTTATTTATTTCATTTTTTTAAATTAAATAAATGCAACTTTAAACCAGTTTTTACTTTTCATTTAATGTCTGTTTTCTGCTTTAAACCTATTTTCATAATTTGAATGTATTAGTAACAGATTTATACATTTTTGCAATTGCAGAGAAAACAGATGAGTTAATCTCATTAAAAAATGCATTAACTCTTTTGACTTTTTAAATGACCAAAATCAAAGAGGGAGTGCATGGAGATGAGCACATTGTCCCAAACACGCAGGAAAAATGCCAACGTGTGAAGGATGTGGTTTTAATTAGGCTGCATCTTTATTATCTCGTTTGGGAATTATCTGGCAATGCACTGCACTGTACAAATTATCATTCCCTCCTCACCCATTTCCAACTACTTGTGGAAGGTGGCCATCAGTCCCCCCACAAATTCACCACCCTCCCCTCACATAAGTGCTCGGGGGGCTGAGAAAAGGGGATTGTTAGGAGCTTCGGTCTCATTCCCCAGCTGCTTTAGGGGATGCCTTCCCCCAGAGTGTACTTCCAATTCCAGTTTTTCAGGGAACCAGACCCCTATAGAACAAGTACCTGCACTGGACACCTGCCACTAGTTTGGCTGCCACTCCCCACTGCCCTCCAGGTTTCCAAATACTTAATAAGTCCCTCCCAAACCAAAAATATATCCTGGATCGGAGAGCTGTATTCCATTAACCCTGAAAATTTTGGTGTGCAATTATCAACTTCCCACTCCTGATGATTCACACTTTGTAAACCTACAGAGGCCTGATAGAATCCCACCACACTGTCCACTGTAGTATTTCAAACCAGTTTGCAGTCTGCCCAGGGTAAAGGTCCCGGATCTGCCCTAAATCTCTCTGTCCTTGATGATTAAGTCCCCCCACCCTATACAAAATCCCAGATCATTTTCACCCTGGTGTACAGTAATCATTTCAACTGCCATTTCTTGGATGCTCCTCTTGCCAAGACAACTCAGGTTTGCCTCAGCACCAAAGGCCCAGCTGCAAACCTCTAGGGAACTGGTTGCCCACCTCTGGGCCCATAGCTCCAAACATTGGCTCTTCCCTTGCTCCTGATATAACAACCCTTTGTCCATATCCATATGGATAAAGTAGAGTAGCCTCAATAATGAGGCCCAGCTGTGAACTTCCAAGGGGAACTGGCCACCTGCCTGTGGGCCAAATGCGAGACAGAGCTCTACTGGCAGGTAAGGGCATAAATAGATATATAAACTCTCCCTGCTGGTCCACATGGGGCCCAATGGCTTTCAAGAGCCTCTCTATCCAGTCCCTAGATCAGGTGATGCCTAACTCCCTTCCACCCCCCCCCCCACCACCACCAAAAGGAGGGGGGAACCCTTAAAAGAGCCACATCCTCTTTCTTGCTGCTTGACCAGACAAATCCCTCCCCACCTTTGAGGCTGTGGGGGTTGAATTTTGCAAATTGTTCAATTAAAATAGATCAGAATTCCTTACATTGGATTATGGGGATAGAAATGGGTGCCTTCAAATTTGCTGACCTTTTCCAGCTGGGCATCTTACTTCATCTGACAATGTAAAATGGAAGACTAATTTACACAAACAAATCACATTTTTCTAAATACTTCAAAGTGATGCCAAGTTTGACAAAAGTTAAGGCCTTGCTCTACCTTGCCCCGAAAGACTCATTCTGGAATCTTTGTATTGCTGTGTGTGTGTGTGCGCACACATGTGTATGTATATATAGAAAGAGTTTTGAAGCATCACACAGCAATCTCAGATTATAGGAGTCCATCCACACTCCATTTTTGATTATTACTATTTATTATTTGTATAACTGTTAACATCTAGACAGAATAAAAAGATGGTTCCTGCCCCAAACATGGGGAAAAGATGCTGGATTCATCTAGTGAAGTTGATCTGATCACATATACAGGTGTAAGCACCAAAACAATCAGAGAGTCTAAATTAAAACTAACCCAAGTACAGATTTAGGCACCAGCTATTATGTACTCCATACAAATTTTAGTTCAGGTTTAAGACTGTCTATACCAGTGGTTCTCAACTTCCATAGTAGGATCCCTGCTGGAACTACCCTCCTATTTAGCAATAAGGGAAGGGCAGGTCATGAACTTGTGACCATCTGTCCCCCACCCCAGATGAGGACTCCTGGTATCAATCATGCTGGAAAAAATCCAAGTAACAATGAAGATCATATGCATGTCCTGGGGATATACCCATGTTCCAAAATTCCAGGAAAATAATGACTAAACAAATCTTAAATACAGGTCTTCTAATTTAAATTTTGCCTCCTATGTTAGGAAAAGGGCATGGGGGTGGGTATAATAGGCCAGGGAAGGCCGTTGCCATGGGACACTGGGCCAGGGATGCTGTGGTCCCGGGCCTGCCGGCGCGACTGGGGCTGCTCTGGCCGGGGCTTGGATCGGTCGGCTGGCTGGGGCTACTCCGGACTGGGCTTGAGTCGGTTGGCCGGCTGGGGCTGGCCTATGGCTCCTCTGGCGGTGACGGCGGGGGAGCGGCTTGGGGTTCCAGCCAGCCAGGGGCTTCTCTGGCCACAGGGCGGCAGGGGGCTCTGGTTGGAAGGGGTGGGGCTCAGGACGTCGTGTGGAAGGGGTGGGGCTGTGGGGCTAGTCTCCCCAAAGGGGGGTGGGAGTCTGTAGCCCAGTGGGCCAACTTACCTGTATTATATTCATTGCTTTGTTATTTTGCTTTATTATATTTAATAGTAATGCAAGGAACCTACAGGCTTTTATCCTGTAAGATTTGGCTTTAGTAGATAGTGTGAGGCTTGAGGCCTATAACCTTTGGTATAGATAAACTTAAGTAACTCATAAGTTATAGGGAACTGAAAGTAGCATGCAAGAGGGGGAATTTGGTCCAGAATACTGACATCAGCCACCGACAGAACACAGCTGACCCCAGCACAGAACATAGTTGACACCAGCTTCCAGAAAGTTCCGGGCAGGACCTCTGACCGCAAAGCTGCCATGACAGCAAATTGACATGTATGCTAATAGGGTAACATCATACATATACTAACCTATAGAAAACGGACACCTTAAGGGAAAGAAATACAAATAAGGACCTCTATTGAATATGCATTGGTCATGGAGCTTCAGCATAACCTACTATAAAAGTAACATCCCAGGGGCAGCAGAGAGGTTGTCAAGATGTAGACCATAGGAGGGGCAAGAATGATGGCCACCAGGGAAGATGCGGACGGTGACAGTGATGAAAAAGATAATGGTTAAGTTTGAAAGATAAGGGTGTAAGTATGGACGTCCAAATGTACTTTCTGTATCATCTCTATCTGCTTTTGTTAAGTTTAAATGTGTGCATAACTTTGGTAAATTATTAATAAATCATATATTTATATATAGAGAGAGTTCCTATAGTGTGAGTGTTGCACCTGTGCACATCGGGGTTCCCAAATTATATGGTAATTTTACAATAAACTTACTAGGCCTGATCTTGGGACAAGAACCTGTTAATCCTCAAGTTACAATTATATATACCCAACTTTGGTTCAGGCTACAAGTCCACCCGTCACACATGGAACAGGGAACTGACATTTTCAAAATGTAAGAAAGAAAACAAACAAACAAAAAACCACCCCACCTACATCCCACCCAACATCAACAACCCTGCACTGATTTATCAATAAGTTTAAATATGCAAACACAGAAAAGTCTATGAATCCATTAGATGCATAAGTATTAGCTATTAGATGTATAAGTAAATATAGCATTTGCATTGTGGAAATGTTAATGATACTATAAAAATCTTGGCCAAAGTTTTCAAAAAATAGGATCCTCCAGTTAAGCTCCTTAACCTCTACATTCTTAATGACTTCAGTGGGAGCCGCTGGGTGTTGAGCAGTTTTGAAAACCAGCCTACTTATTTGAGAGGTTAAATCAGGATGTAAGAACCTAGATTGAGGTCCTGTTTTTGAAAGT